TATATTAGTTCATTTTGCTTTTAATTCCTTAGTGCATGTCAACACAATAAGGAAACTGTAACAGAAGACAAGTTCCTGCTGAGTGCTGTTCAAATCATTATGTATCAAGTACCTATTATGTGAAAGGAGCTTTGCAAGAAAGCAAAACAGCTTTGTTTCATGCATGGGCTCCAAGCTTAGTTAAATTATGAGTGGCTCTTACTGCTGCTGGGGTACGAGGACAATCAAAGGCCATGGGAAATGATGCCAATTTATCTGTCTGGTAGAAGTCAAGGTGCTATTTCCTAGCTTTCTCTTCAGGCAAATTAAGTACAAAAACAAGTTTGGTTTAATTAGGTATCCACATGTGAGAACTCAAATATTTCTGTTGTGTTAGTGGATTCAGAAATATCATTTTAATGGTCAGTCTAGCTACACTTGGAATAAAATGTATCTTTCTACCTACATTATCAAATAATGCACTGAAAATTGCAGAGCATGTATAGGTATCTAATATACAGCTCTAACACATGCTAAGATATATGATAATTTTGGACTTTAAAATAGAACATTGTTTTGCTCTAAGGGAATATTTTCAAATCAACTTTGTTTTCATTTAAACTGTATCACAAAGAGTCAAACACACCCAGGAAGATCTCTAAGAATATTGAATTAAGAAATAATGAGACACAAATATTAGTTCAGTAACATTATTTCTGAATTCTAGAATAGCATTCTGAATTCTATAATCACTTTCTGTGGTCTTCACCATCGTAGAAATAGAATAATTGAAATTGTAACTATATTCAACAGTACATTTTACTATATATGTAAATAAATGTAAATTTATTTAAATTAAATTATTTTAAAAGATTTATTTTTATTTTATTTGAAAGTCAGAGTTACAGAGAGAGGGAGAGGGAAATGAAAAGGATGAGAGAGAGAAAGAGAGAGAGAGATCTTTATCCACTGGTTCACTCCTCAAATGGCTAAAACATCCAGGACTGGGCCAGGCTGAAGCTAGGAGCCAAGAATTCCATCCATGTTCCCTGCATGGGTGACAGGGGCCCGAGTACTTGGGCTGTCTTCTGCTGTTTTCCATGGTACATTTGCAGGGTGCTAGATCAGAAGTGGAACAACCAGGACTGGAACAAACAATCATATGGGATGCTGGCATTGTAGATGGCAAGTTAAAACACTTGTGCTACAATGCTGCCCCCCAACAGAATTTGTCAGTTATAAAAATTCTCTGGAATTTCTATAGCTATGAAAATGGATTAATCTGTTTATTATTATCACTGCTTTTCTAAGTGCTTTTGAAAATGCTCTTCAAAAAATCCATTTTTATGCATTAATTGTAGTCACAAAAATATTCCTCAAATGTCCATATGAATCTGATATTATATACAAAAGGTAGTTGACAAAGTTAATTTAAAATGAGTATTGTAAAAAAAAAAAAACTATGCAGGGATTTCAAGTATTTTTGCATAACATTAAACTTATATTTAAAATTTAGGTTACTATTAATGTTTTCAAATTTTTAGTGTACTTAATTTCATTTAATTTGAAAGCGAGAGAAAGAGCAACAGAGATTGTTTTCCATTTTCTGGTTCACTCCCCAAATACCTACAACAGCCAGGGTCTCTCCAAGCTGAAGTCAGGTGCCCAGAACTCCATCTATTTCTCCTGGGTGGGTGGCAGGGGCCTAAGTAACTAAACTGTAATCTGTTGCCACCAGAATGTGCTTCAGCAAGAAACTGAATCCATTTGATATGGGAATATGGGCATTCTAAGTCATGTCTAATTGCTATACCAAATGCCAATCCATCTACCAGCCTTTTTAAGTACCTGCATACACATATGGCAATCTCTCTTCCTTCTAATGTATGCGCACATATCCTTTTATGAACAAGGAATGGGATAATATCATAAAATTAAGAATATATTTGAATCTCCTTTAAAATGTTAAATTAGTTTCAAGGCTATTTCTTCTTTAAACTGAGTGGATACTTGCTGGATATTTCAAGAATGTTTTAATTGTATTCAGAAAGATATTTTTTAAAGTTTTTTTGAATTATTTGACAGGTAGAGTAATAGACAGTGAGAGAAAGAGAGAAAGAGAGAAAGAGAGAGAGAGAGAGAGAGAGAGATCTTCCTTCCGTTGGTTCACTCCCTAAATGGCCGCCACAGCCAGCGCTGCACCTATCCGAAGCCAGGAGCCAGGTGCTTCTTCCTGGTCTCCCATGCAGGTGCAGGCGCCCAAGCACTTGGGCCATCCTCCACCGCCCTCCCGGGCCACAGCAGAGAGATGGACTGGAAGAGGAGCAACTGGGACTAGAACCCAGTGCCCATATGGGATGCCAGTGCCACAGGCGGAGGATTAACCAAGTGAGCCACGGCGCTGGCCCTGACATTTTTAAAAGTTTTATAAATCTTTTCAGACCTTTACACAGACCTTTTTGTCACTTAAATCTATATTGGAAATGTGGACACTGCTGTTTCAGAGTCTTCATATGACATATTTTTCTAACTCTTTTGCCATCCCTAAGTCTTCTAAACACACACCACTGGGAGGAAGTTTCAGTTTGCAATGAGTGGGTACCAAGCTATGCACAATACTCTAGAGCAATATTCTCAATAAAGAGATAAACTAAATAAATTCCATATCTTTAGTGAATATTTCTGAAGCACTTTTAGCTGGCTTGGCATCTCTATGACTTTATTGCTATGTGTGCATATGTATCTGTGCATGTGTTTACAAGGATATATGTTTCACACTGATAACTGTCATTCACTATCTCTTCTAATACTTAGAAAGCTTACCAACTAATAGGATGTGTTTTTGTTTTTTTGTCAGTTGAAGATCTTTGTTCTATCTATTCAAGAACTCCTTGAGTCTTCATCCAATGTATTAGATAATCTTGACTCCCAAGAGTTCTAAAACTTGTCTTTATCCACGCTGTTGAGAGTCAAAATAAGGAATCAAGCATGGTTGCACATTATTATATATTGTTCATTATTTGACATGTGTAATTCTTATGAACAGATATTGCATCCTGGCATATTTTCTCTTTATTTGACACATTACTTTTTCTTATTAACTTAGATATCCCTCAATATATCCTACAGTATTTTTTTCTTATTATTTTAAGTGTTGTATTTCAAGCTTAGAGATTTCTTACAGTTCTTGTCTTATTTTGCAGTTTCAGGAAGATATATTTGGTTGATTTGTTATATGTACATACATAATGTAAACCTATATAAGTGTGTGCATGTGTGTGTGTGTGTATTTCTTATACTTTTCATGTTCTTCCTCAAATTCAGGTTTTCTTGTTCAAGTTCAATGAGCCTGCTGCCAGTATATTTTCTGCAGTTCCAGTACAGAATATCCTTGTCAAAGGCTCATTATTCTGCTGTGCTAAGCCTTTCTAGGTAGGAAGCTCTTTGCTTCCTGAATCCTCTTTTCTTTTCAAAAGTCATTCTTTCAACTTGGAAAAAAAGAAAGGACAGTTCTACCTCTCCATATCTTAGAGCTTTCTCTTTAAGTACTCAAAATGTACTACAGATATATCTTTCTTCCTTTTCTTATTCTTGTTTGTGATTGTATTTCCAATAATTATCCAAAAAGAGAACACATTTCTGGATTAATAACCTAAAGGGTACACTAGGAATTGATATGAGAAAAAGAATATCTAAATGCAATTGTCTAATGATTTGCCTACCTTTTAATGAAAAGTAATTAATTCATAAGTCAGGCTGAGTTCCTTGGGAATCCAACTTAACTGAAGTTGAGAGTGTAAGATGTCAGTGGATGGTGTGTCTGCAGAACACAGTAGAAGGGAGAGGGACTGGGCAGTGTGAAAGATTGAGCTGCCAGTTTCAGTGCTTCCTTGGTGACCCCATGATAAAACCCTGGACCTATACCTATAATTCAATATTATCAGAATGGAGCAATAAATGGCCTGACCATTATAATTCTTCAACAGTGAGTTGTTGGTTATGTGCTTTATGCTGCTTGAGAAGAGTGTGACCAGGACAAGGTAAAAATCCAGAGCTATAGCACCAAGCCATTCCTTGAAGGAGATCTGAGAGATAGACCCAAATACACATCACAGGGGGCTTTTAGCTAACAGCCATTCTGAAATGAGAGACAGCGATGCAAAGATACCCATGCTTTCTGTATTTGAGGACATCAGTAACAACTGGCTGTGAATTAGTGGGGAAAAAAGACAGTGTGATGTTATGGCTCTGAACAGGGTTCTAAAAGGTATCCAAGTTGTATTCTCATCACTCACTGGTTTTGTGATTTTGGATAATTGACACTCTGGAACTCTAATTACTTATTTCTAAATTACTGTTCACAATAATAGAACTCCTCATAAGATGAGGAATTTAGAATCCTCCCTTTTTAAAGTTCTATGGATTGCTCAGAAATTTCATCTAGACAATTATTATAGTATATGCCATTTACAACCCAGTAAATCAACAATTATTCATTTAATTATTTGTTACCTTCCCCACGGTGTGCTTACTCTAACAAAAGTCCTGCAAATTATAGTTAAGTCTGAAAAGTTATTAATCAATCTGGTGTCTCCATAGAAATATTATCTACAACAGTGATCCTTGCACTATTTTAAGCATTTGTATTACTTGAGTAGATGTCTGTGTCTATCACAAGGATGACCCCCGTGGTTTGCCTCAGAATTTAGGAACCACTGGCTCCAACTCATCTGTATCCTTTAAAATCTTTTTAGCTGCTGTTCATGTCCAGAATGTGTATTGCCTCACTCCTCTGCTTTCCCATTATTTTCCACGCCCTTTAGTTTTGCTTATGCATTTTCCAGTAGGTTCTCAGTCTGAAAGCCAATATTAGTTACTCCTTAATAATTGCCTCTCTGCGTGCCCTTGCTCATTTCATAAACTGGCAAAATATCACATGTACCCATTTTTCCCCATTTAAAGGAAATGTAATCTATGGTGGCTTTACTAAGTGTATTTTGTTCTGCTTATGTCTGTCATAGATAACACAGCCAGCATTCTGACAAGGCGGAGGAGATTTAGTCGCACTGTTCAGGATGTGTATTATCTGCCCATTATGATCTCTGATGGTGGAATCCCCTCTCTCAGCAGCAGCAGCACCCTCACCATCAGGGTTTGTGCATGCGAGAGAGATGGGCGCGTGCGGACCTGCCATGCGGAAGCCTTCCTCTCCTCGGCTGGTCTGAGTACAGGAGCCTTAATTGCTATTCTTCTCTGTGTTGTCATTCTCCTGGGTAAGTCCTTCTGTGCCCTCAGATTGCATGATGGCAAGTCAGAATAAGAGAGCATCCATTGTACAAAATTGAATGATTAGGAAAGCATAGTATGGATAAGAAATCAGATGCACAGATTTCCTCTTTTTTTTCTTTCGTATTGCTGTTGATTGTGTTTGGACAGGCAGAGTGGACAGTGTGAGAGAGAGAGACAGAGAGAAAGGTCTTCCTTTGCCATTGGTTCACCCTCCAATGGGCCAGCGCACCGCGCTGATCCGATGGCAGGAGCCAGGTGCTTATCCTAGTCTCCCATGGGGTGCAGGGCCCAAGTACTTGGGCCATCCTCCACTGCACTCCCTGGCCACAGCAGAGAGCTGGACTGGAAGAGGGGCAACTGGGACAGAATCCGGCGCCCCAACCGGGACTAGAACCCGGTGTGCCGGCGCTGCAAGGCAGAGGATTAGCCTAGTGAGCCGCGGCGCCGGCCTCAGATTTCCTCTTAATTAGCTTTCGCAATACTGTAGTCCATCCAGAAATAATTTGATTCGAATGTGAGGAAAGAGTTGAAAGACAAGAGGATAATATCTAGGAAAAATAATTTTTTACATTGTATATTTAGGAAAGAATTAATACTAAAATACTATGAAGCCCACTTGAAATGGATTTTACAATTTATTCCCAAGAAAATAAGGGGCATAGCTTTAAAGTGAATTTGACAGTGACCTACTTACAAGATCAGATGGACTCAGCCATTCAGGGTTACTGATCACGCCGCTTCTGATCCAACTTCCTAACGAAGTGCTCCTTAGGAAGCAGCAGATGATGGCCAGACTGCTTACATCCCTGCTACAGACACGGGAGACCCAGGTGGAGTTCTGGGCTTCTGGCTTCAACCTGGCCTCATTCCAGCTGTATAGGCATTCAGGGAAGTAAATCACAAGACAGAAGATCTCTCTGTCTGCCTTTAAATAAAATGAAAATAAGTAAATAAATAAATCTTTGAAAAATTGCAGGATTTATAAATATAGAAATATAATGTACATCATGGTAAATAATAATATTATAGTATATACTGGGAATTTGCTGACAGAATAGATTTCATGTGTTCTTACTCTCCACCCCCCACATATGTGATAAGTGTAGGATAATAGATAAGTTAATTTGTTTGAGTATAGCAATTTTTTCAAGATATAGCAAAACATCAAATTGATACTTTGATTATATAATGAATAAATAATAAAATATGAATGTAAAATAAAAATAGATGTTCTGTCAAAACTTCTATTTATTTAGTTAATTATCATTGTTTGCTCTTCTAACATATAGATATATAAACATAAATGATTTTGATCTTAGAGATATTAAACTTTATTAAAGTAAATTATATTCAGTTAAAACTAAAAGGTCTTTTTAAATTTTACATTTATATTAAATTTTATTTTATGAAAACATTAACTGCTTTCTATAACTTTTGCATTATGTGTTGTAATAGTCTATATCTTATAACAGACATATTTGAAACTGACGTTACTATAAACTGTTAGACTTCTGTTTAAAACAAGATGGGAAACCTGAACTTATAACAGGAAAGTTAGATATAAAGGATCTTTCTTATTGTTTAAAATGAGGCCAGCGCCACGGCTCACTAGGCTAATCCTCTGCCTTGCAGCGCCGGCACACCGGGTTCTAGTCCCGGTTGGGGCGCTGGATTCTGTCCCGGTTGCCCCTCTTCCAGGCCAGCTCTCTCTGCTGTGGCCAGGGGGTGCAGTGGAGGATGGCCCAAGTACTTGGGCCCTGCACCCCATGGGAGACTAGGATAAGTACCTGGCTCCTGCCATTGGATCAGCGCGGTGCGCTGGCCGCAGCGCGCTGGCCACAGCGGCCATTGGAGGGTGAACCATCGGCAAAGGAAGACCTTTCTCTCTGTCTCTCTTTCTCACTGTCCACTCTGCCTGTCAAAAAATAAAAATAAAAAATAAATAAAAAATAAAATGAGTTCTTGTTGCAGGCAGGTATTTGGCTCAGCAGTTAAGTTGCCACTTGGGATGTCCATATCCCATAGCAGAATACCAGGTTTGAGTATGGCTACTCCTTGCTTTCTGAGAGGTAGTAGCTGATGGTTCAAGACTTGGACCCCTGCTACCCATATGGGAAACATGGACTTCTGGCTTCAGTTGTGCAGGCATTTGGGGAGTGAACCAAAAAAGAGAGATTTCCATTTCTCTGCCTTTTCAATAAAATGAAAATAAGCATGTATATCTTTAACTGTGCATGTTTATTTTTCCAATGTTTCCTTGTCCTTCCATTTTCTTTTAGTAACTGTTTTTTTTTCTCCCTTGTTGGTGCTGTGCATACATGAGAAAATAATTGTATGTTTCATGAGAGAGAAGTGTTTCTTCTCCTTTGTTTTATTGATCTGAAGGCACAGAGATATTGAATTAGAGGAAGAGGGAAGGTGAAAGGGAGGAAGGGAAAGAGAGAGAGATGGGTCAACATTGTGGCATAGTGGGGAAAGCTGCTGCGTGATCACATATGGGTGCTGGTTCATGTCCTGGCTGCTCCACTTTTGATACAGCCCCGGCTAATATGCCCTGGAAGGCAGCAGAAGATGGCCCAAGTCCTTGGGCCCATGAACCTACATGGGAGACAGAAGAACCTCCTGGCTCCTGGCTTTGGCCTGATCCAGACTCAGCCATTGCAGCCATTTAGGGAATGAACCAAAGGATGGGAGACCCCTCTCTTTTTCTCTCTCTCTTTTTCTCTCTCTATCTCTATAACTCTGCCTTTCAAATAAATAAAATAAATCTTAACAAAAAAAACTAGAGAGAGAGAGAGAAGAAGAGAGAGAGAGAGAGAGAAACAGACTGATCAGTGTTGCGGCACCACTGGTTCAAGACCCTGATACTCCAATTCCAAGTTAGCTCCTTGCTAACGCACCTGGGAAAGCAGTGGAAGATGGCCCAAGTACTTGGATCCCTACCAATCATGTGGAAGACTTGTATGGAGTTTCAAGCTCCTTGTTCTGGCCTGGCCCAGCTCCTGCCTTGTGGCCATTTGGGGAGTGAAACAGTGGATGGAAGATCTCTCTCCTTGGGATCTTCTATCCACTGCTTCACTCCCCAAATAGCTCCCACAGCTAGGGGTGGGCCAGGCTAAAGTCAGGAGCCTGGACCTCAATCTGAGTCCCATCTATGGGTGACAGGAACTCAATTGTTTGAGCCAGTACCTGATGCCTTCCAGGGTACACTTTAGCAGAGAGGTAGAATTGGAAGTTGAGCAAGGAATCAGCCAGGCGTTCTGATATGGGATGAAGGTACACAAGTGGCAATTAAAACACTATACCAAATGCCCACTCTAATAAAGGTATTCTTCCAAAGAATCTTCCTTCTTTTGTTACTAGGGTGGAAAACAAATACTGTATAGGTGGTCTGTATGGTAATATGGAACAAGGCTGAAAAGGAGGTAGTTGTGTAGGCAGAGATGAGATAATCTGAGGTTTTTTGGACATGGAAAAGGTGGTAGGCTTTATTCTAACATTGAAAATAAAGATTTAATGAAACAGAGTCCTATTAAAATGTATGATTTGAAAAGATGACTATGGATTCAGTAGAGAACACATCTCTGATTAGCAAGAGAGCACAGAGGTGGCTGGCACCGTGGCATAGTGGGTAAAGCCACCACCTGTGGTGCTGGCATCCCATGTGAACACTAATTTGAGTCCTGGCTGCTCCACTTCAATCCAGCTGTCTATTGTGGCCTGGGAAAGCAGTGGAAGAGACCCAAGTGTTTGGGCCCCTTCACCCATGCAGAAGACCCGGAGAAAGCTCCTGGCTTCAAATCAGCGCAGCTCCAGCCATTGCATCCATCTGGGGAGTGAACCAGCAGATGGAAGACCTTTCTCTCTCTTTGCTACTGCCTCTCTGTAATTCTGCCTTTCAAATAAATAAATAAATCTTAGAAAAAAAAAAAAGAGCACTAGGCTAACCAACTAACAAGAGTATGCAGTTATCTCCCTCAGATAATGTGGTCTAGTCTAGCATAGTTAGAGTGGAGATGAAGAAAAGTGGTTGCTATCCAGATACTTGAGGTGAAATCATATGTGAGCTTTGATAACTTAGGGATCAAGGTGAATTTGAACCATATCATAAAGACCCTTCACTTGCTGGATACCAGCTCCAATCTTCCCTGGGCTGGAGGACACCTTTTTGAAGTCAGAAAACCAGGGAATCTATAGGGACAGTGAATCAGTACTGTACAATGAGAAACTCCAATGTGATGGCTAACTCAGGAAGGATAAATAGCAGAGGACAGCGATGGAGCAAGTAACAAAAGAGAACCAGTAAAGTGTGCCAGAGCTTCAAAAGTTCATGAAAATGTATATTATGGAAATATTGCAAAGATTTCAAAAATTGTGGGTACCCAAGTAAAACTTACTTTTTATTCCCATTTTTCCATGACTTTTCAATGTATCACCATCTAATGCCAACATCAGGGAAATTAAAAGATACTAAAGAGAACAGAGCACTATGCCATGGAGTAGATCTTGTCAATGATCCATTGGCATAAAATGCTACTCAGGTTAAATAAATGGAGCACCAAAATTTATGAATTGAACTGACCCACATGAGGCATGGAAGTTTAGTGCACCAGAGAAAGAAGTACTCCAGCACAGTGGAATCTTTCATTTTGGAGGCATGGTAGACAAGGAAACCATGAAAATAAGACTTTGAACATTTTATTTATTTCTATTATCATTGGTAACAAGTGCTGTTTTCTTTCTCTTTTTTAAAAATATTTATTTATGTATATAAAAGGCAGAGTTACAGGGAAGCAGAGGCAGAGAAGGAGGGGAGAGAGAGAGAGAGAGAGATGTTCCATCCTTTGATTCACTCCCCCAGATGGCTGCAACAGCTGGAGCTGTGCTGATCCAAAGCCAGGCACCAGGAGCTTCTTCTGGGTCTCCCACACGGGTATAGGGCCCCAAGCCCTTGAGCCATATTCTGCTGCTTTCCTGGGCCATGGCAGAGAGCTGGATGGGAAGTGGAGCAGCTGGGACTTGAACCTTTGCCCATATGGGATGCTGGCACTGCAGGCAGCTGCTTTACCTGCTACACCATAGCGCCAATCCCAAGCTGTTTTCTTTAGATAATAATACAGATTTTTTTCCTACTTCGGTCTTAGAAAATTAAAACAAAACAAAACAAAACACAAACATATCAAAAGCAGAAAACAAAAGTGTACAAAAATTTAAAACCTTAAATTTAGGTCACAGAGAATACAGCCTATTGATTTTATGAGAAATTTTTCCAAATATTTTGTTTCTGGTTTTGTTTGTATTATTATTATAAAACTATTTTCATCTATTAAAGATAATTTTAAAAATCAATATGTAAAAATTTTTAGAAAACCATCTGGAAGAACATTTTATTGTTTCACTAAAATCATACTTCCTTTTAAAAATATTTATTTGATAAGAATAATAATAGAGAAAGTAGAGACAAAAAGATTCTTTCATCTGCTGGTTCACTCCCCAAGCCAGAGATAGGCCAGGCTGAAGCCTGGAGACCGGGCTGACATCCAGGTCTCCAAAGTGAGTGGGAGAGTCACAAGTACTTGGGTCATCAAATGCTACCTACCCAGATGCATCAGCAAGAAATTGGATTGGAAGCAGAACAGGCAGGCCATGAGCTAGGACTCTGATATAGTGGCCACATAACCCATTGAGCCAAAATGCCAAGCCACAATATTTTCTATTGATTCATTTTTATGAACATGTTTTCCTCTTTGGTAAAACAACATAAGATTTATAAATGTTATACTATCCCTCAGAACTGATGATACAGAGTTGCTGTTTTTTTATGTTTACTTTTTCATTATTTTTCCTGAAACTCAAGTATATTTTTACATTATTTTTTTCTGAAATTCAAATACATTTTATCTAAGTGCTATAGAATAATTTTTGAGATTTAGTTAAAAATTATTAATTATAATGTAATGTATACTTTTAATGGCCTTGAGTTTTTAATTAGTCAGATAATATCTAGCCAACAGATTCATAATGCAGTCAGCTTTAATTTTAAAATAATTTTGAAGTTAACTTATGAGCTCTTATATTTCAAAGAAAATATCAGAAATACCACAGGTAATAAAACTTTATTATACAAATTATAAATATGAAATAATATGGAAACTTAACAGCTAAGAAAATTTTGAAATCAATATTTTAGTGTTAAAATATTAAATTATTTGTTTTGTGTCTGTGATTGTATAAACCCAACCATCATTTTGCCAATAATTAGCTATATGATCACAGATCCAATAAGTCCCTCTTACTCTATTTCTGAGCCTGTGAATATGAAGTTTCAATTTAAAAGATCTTCAAATCATCTGTACAGTTTTATGTTAATTATTTTATTGCAAGTTACATATGATTTACTAATTTACTATATTGTCAAACCATATTGGTTATCTGAAAAATAATGTTCGACTAGAAACGCCTAACTCCACAGGAAATGGTACATGCAGTGAGTGGGATATTTTCTGCTGAGACTCCCTTTCTCAGGCCCAGTTTTTCTAATGAATAGGAGAGAACTTATTTCATGAAGAGATCAGGGTGCTGTTACAGCAGGGATAACTGAAGTCCTCTTCCCATCACGGGGACCTGACATTTCTTTTCCAACCTTATCTTGTCACTCGCCAGAGGGACTGGAACAGTTGGCAGAGCAAACTTTGCTCACACTTGGCATGAGAAGTCATGAGTCAGGATCTGAATTAGACCCCTGCCAGCTCTTTAATTTCACACTCCACAATTAAGCAGGTGGCCTAAGTGAGGCCACCACCTGTATTGCTCACTTGTCTTGGATATAAATTTCTTGATAAATCAGAGTCCAAAAGAATTCAGTGTGAGAATAGTGGCAAACTTGTAAAGGAAGATAGAATTGGTAAGGAGATAATTGTTAGCTGCTTATCATGTGAGCTACTTCATATGACATTGTGGCTCCCTTGGTTTGAAAATATGAGTTTGCTATTTGCTATGACAGTTGCCACTATCAGAAAAACTAATAGCACTCTGTAATCTAGTAAAATTAAATCCTTGACTTGAACCACTTTGAAGCAACTATGTCAGGAATATATTCTTAACTTTTGGGGAATAAGTAAATATAAGCCATCATCATTTAAAATCCAGCATTAGCCTCTGTATTTCACTGGGAAAATATGGCATATACACAAAGATAGAAAAATTGGACAAATGTTGGTGAGGAACAAAGATTAGCACCATAATTCTATCTCACAATTGATATTTTCCCCTCTTATGCCTGCGCATACATTCTCTTGACAGCAACCACTTCAACATAAAAGAAAGTGACTTGATATATTGATGGAAATAAGAAGTTTTTCTATTATAAAGTAGGTGGATACAGAAATCAGTTTTTCATTCTAGAACAGCCTCCTCACATAACCATAAAATGAGCAGAAATACATAAAGTTAATAAACCTAAGCCTCTAAAAATAATGAAATGAGTAACATGAGGATGTTGTCTGGGGCTCATGGGAAATACATACTGAATAATGTAGGTTTGTGTCTGTGCATGTGCACATACACTGTATATCACAATTTCAAGTCACATTTAATTGACTGTCCTGCACTTTTCACTTTTAATTTGCTAGAACTAACAACCCTAGGTATCAATGGAATATACTTCCCTGATTATTATAATGTAAAGCATGTTTAGAATAGTTATTAATGAATACTATCATAGAGTCTAGAATATTGAATAAGAACAGCAAAATCTATAAGCTGAAATACATCATATTGGACTTACTGATGAAGTTTATAACAAAGTTGATAGGAGGTAATACTTTCTACTAAGTGGTGGCTTAATATTATCAAATAAAATTATTTGAAAATGTTGAAAAATAGCCAGAGGGCCATTTCTTATCATTTTATGCAATGGCTGCTATGTTATTGATAATAATAAATAATTCACAGTATTTATCAAGAATTCCCATAAGCCAAGTGTCGAAATGTCCACTGAGTTCTTTAGTCCATAGTGTTTTAAAGTAATGAAGTGGGATATCACTTCATATCAGAAATATCACTGCCTCTGGTTGAGAAGTCACAGACTACATGTGGTCCAAACCCTTGCCCTTGCCATCCGTGAGACTGTATCATTTGATCCTAGTTCTACACAGACTCTCCTGAGACTCAGTTTTCTCCTTTAAATAGAGTAAAGGCACAGCTCTGCTGTGAGGATTGAATAAATAAGTTATGTGCAGAACATCTTAAAATGAATCTTTAACAAAATATAAGTTATGCACAATAAAGTAACATCCTGTGCAACTGGGTGGATAAATTATTGCCTGACAATACTCCTGCTAGGAATTGCTACAAAGCTTAAAAAATCAAAAGATTTAAAGAAGAAACTATTTCCAAGTGTAGAGAAATCTAAAATACCCTGTCATTAATGTATGCACCTAAAAGGATTAAATATCCATAGAGAGACCAGTATACTGCATTAATTTTGCAGTCAGAATATCACGTCACGTTTGCAACATTGGTTCTCCTCACTTTAAACACTGAATAACTATACAGCAGCATGAGTCAGGAAACCTGAATTTGTGCCTGGCAAATGAGAACATTGTGACTTGCTACAGAAGAGCCCCTCACAGTATCTCATACGATGGATGGTTTTGTGCATTGTCTGAGGCACGGAAGTAGCCTCAAGACCTGTGAAGCGCAAGGCTGGGTGGGATCCCAAGCCTAACTTTGGGACGCGGTTGATGACAGCTCCTGGAAATTGCTGATGTCCAATCTCAAATCTGTCCACCTAACGCTTGATCCTCTTTCCGTTTTTCCTCAGCTATTGTAGTGCTTTTCATCACCCTGAGGCGCGGCAAGAAAGAGCCCCTGATCATCTCAGAGGAGGACGTGCGGGAGAACGTGGTCACCTACGACGACGAGGGGGGTGGGGAGGAGGACACGGAGGCCTTCGACATCACAGCCTTGAGGAACCCGTCGGCCGCCGAGGAGCTCAAGTACCGCAGGGACATCCGCCCTGAGGTGACGCTCACCCCCAGGCACCAGACGACGTCCGCCCTGGAGAGTATAGACGTCCAGGAGTTTCTGAAGCAAAGACTGGCAGAAGCAGACCTGGACCCCAGCGTGCCCCCTTATGACTCGCTTCAGACTTACGCCTACGAGGGCCAGAGATCCGAAGCCGGGTCTATCAGCTCGCTGGACTCAGCCACGACACAGTCGGACCAGGATTATCACTACCTTGGAGACTGGGGACCCGAGTTTAGAAAGTTAGCTGAACTCTATGGAGAAATAGAATCTGAAAGAACAACTTAGGGGGTCGATTCTTGCAGCCTGTAGAATTTGCTTCCTGAACAAGCGGAAATAGAACCTCAGCAGTGAGGAGGACGAAGCCTGGATACAGTACTGGAACTGAGCAAGGTGTACACAGCTCCTGTGGAAACAAGTGCCCTTTCTATGATCAAAACTGGGTTCTTTAATTGGAAGAAAGCAACTCTAACAAAACAAAAACCATACAGAGAAAAAAAGCTATTGTTCCTTGTGTATATTTTCAATTGCTCAATAAAGTATGTGGTACTGTTTAATTAAGAATATCTGAATTAAGCCAAACAATGAAGTTTGTTTCAATATTTTGTGATTTCTTTTTCAAAAGAAAAACTAAGCAAAAAGACTTAAAAATCACTAAAGATATGAATTAGAGGGGTAGTGAACTGACCCTTTTCCCACTTTTCCGGGTGGACCCTTGAGACTCACATGCTGTAATTGTGACCAACTTCATTAGCCTTCTCTTGTGTAGAAACAACCTGAGGTATTCCCAACATGAGGCCACCTGTCGTGGACTAATATGTACCATTTCCCTCTGCCCTCCCCACTTCTTCTCTCCATACAAAGTTGATGGAGCATGGGGATTTGCTGCCTGCACTATACTGTATGCAACTTCGGTGCACCAGCTGTGCACCACACTGAGCACAGGACAATTGCCTCTGTCCCTTCCACTCCCACCCCCATTTATTTGAACTAAAAACCCACTTTTAATTTTTTTTTTCAGATGAAGATAACGAATGGTTGAAGGTATACTCCAACAATCACACAAAAAGGGATAAATTTAGTTTAAAGAATAGCTACAGATATTCTCCTATACAAAATACCTGGGAACTCTATTCCATCATTTTTTTTGCTTTCGTTCATTTAAATCAGTATTTTTGATCATTCCTGCACCAAAAGTTAGTTGTCAGAAATTTTACTGATTGGTTAATATTTCAATGTAATTCACTTACTTTCATCAAAAATATGATATAAAATAAGCACCTTACACACTTACAATGTCTGAAAATCCAATTAATTCAACTTTGTAGACATGTCATTGACTTGCTTCTATTCTTTACACATAGCCAGACTTTCTTCTAACAGATGAATCTTTACATGTTTGGTATCCACAGGAAAATGTGTAGGACTCAGAGCAAAATAATAGGTGATTCACACTTGTTGTCCTTGGACATATCTCTGAAAGTCTTTAAGTTTTGGGTATAAAACTTCAAAGTAGAAATGGCAATGACTTCCCTGCCTACCTCACAGGGCTGTTGTGAGGATCAAATAAGCATCTGTAAAAATGCTTTGCCAAATGCAAAGTATTCTATTACATAAAGGTTTGCTGATACCTAATTTTTTTAAATTCCATTAGCTTATAAATATATATATTTACATATATTCTACATAAAATATTATATTATCATAAAAGAGTTTTAAAAACCATCAACAATGAAGCTACTGTTTAAGTACATGATATGCACAAGTTATTTTATATTTTCCTAAGCAAGCTAATTTTCTTAGAATTTCTTGGGACTTCTATTTTCCAAATTGCTTTAGATTATATTTTGTTGTTAATGCTATTGATCTTGAAATGAGAATGCATAGGAAAATAGTTCTATTCTTCAAAAATGACCACATCTATGTATTTCAGGTAAACTGGGATTTTAAAATCCACAAAATATAATTATTTGAAGGAGTAGTTTTTGCTTTCAAAAATTTTTCATAATCTAGTGTCCCCAAAAGCTATATGGCATTTTCTGTCTGATTCTGGCCATGTGCAAAATTTTGGATCTTGCCTCTGTTTGCAACTGCCCTGTGATATCATATAACAAATTTGAGGTACGGGAAGTGAATAAGTTGAATTTGAATAATTCTTGATTTGTATTTTAAGCCTGAGGAATAAAGTGTACCTGAAGCTTTTTACAACATTTTAGCTTTCAGATGCTGCTTTATCATTTTTTTACATAATAGTGGTGTGCATTTTTGTGTAAAGCTGAATCAAAAGACCGACTTAGAGGCTTAGGGAATAACCTGTAGGTACACAGATACTGATGAAATAATGTGAGCTACACTTGTGCTGATGGGAGGGCAAGCATTGGACAACAATTGTGCACCATGGTGATTTGACTTTCCTATGTGGGAAAGACTATAAAGTTCAGGGTTTGGAAATCCATACAACATTTAGATTTAGAGCTTGAATAAACTATTCATGGTTTTATTATTTTAATATGTGCATACATTTAACCATTCACAAAAATGTTGAGGTTTTCAGCAAATCTGAGAGCAAAATGTTTCCTTAATTTCGTTTTTCAAAGCACTCTAGGTCTATCTAAAGCCAATCACAAATTATGATGATAATGGATTACTTCTAAGCACCTTATATTAAGTCCAAATTTGAAAGAAAAGTGGATTTCCTGAAGTTTGTAAATATTATGTTTACATTTTGATTTATGCTAAGATTTTGATAATGGAAGCATTCCAAATACCAATTTTTATATCAATATTGAAATGAGGGAATTAATTATATCATTATGATACATATAGAATGGATCCACATTTTTTGTTCTACTACTTTGAGTCAAGAAAATATTAATGCCTTGAGCTGAGTCAAGAAAACATTAATGCCTTGAGCAATTTAACACTCAATACTTTAAATTAGTATCCAATTTATCGGTGTTAGAAGAATATTCTTTAAGAGTTTAGTGAGCCAACAACTCTATGCAGATTCTCTTAGAGTTTACTGTTCAGTTTTTACTGACCATAAATAACTATGAACTCATCATGTTTCTCAGCACATTTGAAAGACTTTGTTCATATTTTAAACAAAAAAATACAAATTTGAATCCATCATTTTTTCTTTCTTTTTTATTTTTTTTCATTTTTTTAAACTTTTATTTAATGAATATAAATTTCCAAAGTACAGCTTTTTTATTTTTTGACAGGCAGAGTTAGACAGTGAGAGAGAGAGACAGAGAGAAAGGTCTTCCGTCAGTTGGTTCACACCCCAAATGGCTGCTACAGCCTGCGCACTGCGGCCTGCACATCGCACCAATCCGAAGCCAGGAGCCAGGTGCTTCCTCTTGGTCTCCAATGCGGGTGCAGGGCCCAAGGACTTGGGCCATCCTCCACTGCCTTCCTGGGCCACAGCAGAAAGCTGGACTGGAAGAGGAACAGCTGGGACAGAATCCGGTGCCCCAACAGGGACTAGAACCTGGGGTGCTGGCGCCGCAGGCAGAGGATTAGCCTATTGAACCACGGAGCCGGCCTATCCTTTTTTCTAATAAAATAATTTTATACCCTTACAAAATGGTGATTCTTAAGCTAAACAAAATATTAATACCATGATGATATTTTATGCAAGGTATTACTTAAAATTTATTAATTCCAAATACTTTTTTGCAAACTCTAAGAAATTATTTTTTAAAAGTCACCGCAGAGCTATTGTCACAAATTCTTTCCATGCAAATGTACACAAATAGATTGAGGAAATGGATGAAGAAAACAAGACAAATACAGAGTTAAATTGTGGCTTTTCTATAATGTGATGCAAGAAGGAACAGTTCTGAGAGCAATCGCATACTTTTAACCAAATATATATATATAATGCATACACATATCTTGTTGAAAAATATTTGAGTAGTAAAGGGCTATTCAAAGCAAGGATTTGGATTTTCATTTGCTCCAGATAGGCCATGGATATACAACTGCAGTAAAAATTTCCCTACAAATGGAAGATTCAACTACAAGTTATTTTTTGGCTTTTGTTTTGTATCCAGATCCAGTCTAATGTTCAATGATGTCAGTTTAATGAAACTGATTAACAGATGTGGTTACACTTACAGCAGACAGGATGATCAAATAGCAATAGAACAGAGTTTTAGAGATGAAGACCTAATTGACCCCGCATGGCAATTCAATATTTTCACGTTGACACTTTGTATACTGCAATTTCCTCAGAGATCTGGGTACGTTGGGGAGGTATATTGAGTTCACCATTTCAGCAACACAGAAAGCTTGATACGCAATGGTCATTGCTTTGTTTTTACAGACCTATATCCACAAGGGTGCTTTGGCGTCTCCTTTATGGTTTAGCCGCATACATAGGAAAAATGAACAAAAAATTCTGGCAGACTCATTTCACAGCCATCAAGAACCACCAGTGAACCTAGCATGGTAAAAGGACATGCTTGAATCTAACATTTATGTGGTAATTTTCTACCTGTCTATTGTGTGAACAGTATTTGATTAGCTAGTTCTCAAATTGGAATTGCAGAGCTGCTTACTCTGGAAAGAGAAACCATTTCCATGATTCAAACTCAAGTTTTGCTTGGATATGTTATTCAGCTGACTTACTTGGCATGTGGAATATGTTTTTAACACAGGATTAGAAATTTTACAGCCCAAAGTAGCTCACAACCTTTCAAAGATAAGACTAGCACAGAACCCATTCAGTAATTCAAAATTTCAAAATTTTAAAATACCAAGAACAACATTTTGATATAAAAATATACAGTAATTTTAATTTGTCAAAATGCATAATCCTGTGTTGGCTTGTGCCAAAGAAAAATGCGGTCAGGTGTTTCTTTTTTTAAATAAGGGAACAAGTCAAGAAAAACATAACATATACTGCTCTGAAGCACTGATGAGAGAGAGAAAGAGAGAGAGAGAGACAGGATAAGCCAGCAAGCCAGCTTTAAGTCCAGTAAGAAATGATTGCATTTACCCACTGCTTTGAGCTTATGGAAATGAAGAATTTCATTCTTGAACACTAAAGAGACATCAAAACATATTTCAGTAATGATTCTTTTTAAACTCTTAGGTGAAAGTAAATGGAGAAAATAGGCATTCAAGGACTCTTGAAATTACATCCTATGAGGAATGCAAGTGCCACTTAGAGAATGCAGTGGTTTGTTTTTTTTTTTTTTAAAGATGGCTTAGTCTTATTCCCTGGCAATACTAACTTTAGATATAAGAATATGGGGTATAATAGCTAGTGTCACCCTAATAATTGTCAATACAGCTTTTCTTATGTCAAAGTGCCGTTTCAAGTTCCTTAGTTTTAGGCAGAAATTCATATGTTCCAGTATTTATAAATTATGTGTTCTAACTATAGGCTATATTTAAGATACAATTCCAGACACTATATGGCATGGAGAAAAAGAATTTCTGGTGATAGCTCATTATCTATTAAATTAGAATCTTGTTTGAGAGTTAAGATCTATATATTAGAACATTCTAGGCAATGGATATGAAGAAAAAATGGTGACCTTTTAAAAAAGAGGCTGAGATACCTTGCTATGAAAGATTACAGACTATATTAAAACTCTGCCTGTAATGTGCCACACCTGATTTGTTTTATGGGACAGGGGAATGATACAAATGGGAAGAGGGCTGCTAAGGGAGGTAGAAGCAGAGGAGAAGTTGAAGCAAAAGTCAAGTCATTAGATATGGACTGAAGGTTTCATGCAATCAAATAATATCTGTGTAAAATGTTAAGCTGCATTTAGATTTTGGATGATTGAAAGGAACTCATTCTTCAACCAATGCCATTAATTTGTTTTTCAAAGGGGAAAATGATCACTGTAAAACTTCTCATTTAAAAACAACATTTCTCATAAATATCTTTCAGTCAGAAAAGGCATACCAAAGGAAAATTCTAGAATTATGAGTGCCAACAGATGCAAATATAGCTATTTGAATCCTTTATAGAAAATTATGACCTAAATTAAAATATACCTTGAGAAATTTTTTTAAAGATCACAGGTGATATATATTTCAGATTGGGTTATTGGAATCACAGGATTTTTCATCTTATTCATTCAAAGAAAGATAAAATGGGAACAAGAGAAATACTTTTAAGAACACTACTTATTCATATATACTTACTTTTAACTGGATAAATATGTCTATTAGATGTAATCATTTTTAACATATAAAATATTTTACCTGAAAATATATGTAAATACCAAAGACCAGATTGAGGCCTTACCATAACTACATCATTTGCTTTTTGATACTTCATATAAGGAAAGTCACACACTCTGGTGTTTCATTATATAATAATTTATATTTGAATTTAATGTAAAACATGACCATAATACATAACAAAGATCCAATGGTTTGTTAATATGATAGTCAGGTATCCTGAGATAGTTCTCCTTTTATAACTTGTTTCTCACTTTCTGTTCTTTCACATTCATTTGCCATTTTTTTACTGTCCTTGAAATACTATGTCTGAGCATTTCTATATTTCATGTATTTTTAGAACAAATTCAACAAAATGCTTTTAAAAATAGAAAGCAGTTATGTTTATTTCAGGGCTTTCATTTTCAATGCATTTTCTCTTTTTGTGTCACTAATCATGCTCCTTCTCACGAAAATTAATAATAATAATAAAAACTGCATCCAGAAAAACACTTCGTGACAGTCACTTTCCTATGAGCATGAGGTTTCATTCCACGTTGTCTGATTTGTAGCTCTTGCAACACTGAATATTTTTAATCTCCTAGAAGTCATCCTATTTTCATTTCTCAAAAGATAGCAGGGGAGAAATTCTGTGTTTCTTTTTATGTGACTATTATTTCAAATAGTATTGATGATCCATTTCATAATCCACTGAGATTATATTTGAAATGAAAACAGTGACTTGATCTAGATACAGCATTTTCCAATATCACGTTTCAAAAGTTAAATCTATAGTTGTTACACTTTAAAAAACGAAGTATGACTCGACATCATTTTCAAGAAAAGATTTACTTAAAAGGCAGCTTAGAAAATTGTTTTTCCAGAATGAGAACTAACAGTGAATAAATATCTCAAGTTTTATCTACTGGTTTTGTTTTCCTTTCAATTGCACATAGATTTTACAGTACTGACCACACAGTGACAAATGAGAGATAATCAGTATATCAGTAAACACCAAAATTTC